TATAGCTTATAATTATTAACTATATGTTAAGTAACTACAATGATATAGTTATAAATATAGCTATTTCTATAGTTAATATTAACTATTAACTATATATTATAGGACTATTAATTAAATTTTTCAGACAGCAGCAACCACCTGGAGCTACACCAGGTAAGAAACAGGACCAAAGGAGTGACTCCAATCACAACAGCATCCAGGCAGTTTTACTGATGACTTACCCTTGCCACATGCAAAGAAAACAACAACAGAGATCTCAGTAACAAACAAGTTCTTTCTAATTGATCCAGCTGCTTTGAATAGAGTATTGCATATATACCTAGATTTTAAATGGGAGCCTGTGTAAGTTTTATCTTGGCTAAGCAAACTTATTCTCCTGTGAAGACAGGGAGAGAGTGTTCAGCCCAGAGAAGAGATGGCTCCAGGGAGACCTTTTAGAGCATCTTCCAGTACATAAAGGAAGCCTATGAGAGAGTTGGAGAGGCAATTTGGACAAGGACATGGGGCAAGGATATTAAACTGAAAGGGGCAGGTTTAGATTAGATGTTAAGAAGAAATTCTTTACTGTGAGGATGGTGAGGCACTGGAACAGATTGCCCAGAGAAGCTGTGGGTGTTCCTTCCCTGGGTCTGTTCAAGGTAGGTTGGACAGAGCTCTGAGAAACCTGGTCTAGTGAAAGGTGCCCCTGCTCAAGGCAGGAGTGTTGTAACTAGATGATCTTTAAGGTCCTTTCTAACCCAAACCATTCTGTGATTCTATAATGATTCTGCAGATTCCCATGTTTTTACTCTTTTTAGAATCAGAAATTGCAACTCATGAAAATGTCTTCAAAACACTGTTTTTTATTTCTGCTCAGATGGTTGCCAGTCCTTGATCAAATCAAGAGCCTGAGTTCCTGGTCTCTTTATGACTAGGTGTATCCATCTTGTACCTCATGCCTATACTTTAGATGCCACAAATGCAAGCATAATTCAGTTATTCAGAAAATTCCCATAAATTGCTCAACCTTAAATTACCATAAAGTATTCTACATCTATTAGAGGGGACACACGCAACAGAGAGATTGAGTAACTTAAAAGAGAAAAATCATTAAAGGCCAATCAGCTGCAATTTCAGTGCTGAAAGTGACTGAATTAGTATTCAGTGGGTCTTATTTATTTTCCCTCTAAACATCACTTGTTCTGATAAAAATAAATACTTATCACTTCTGCATCAATTCTGCCAACTTGAGGAATCTACTCAATACTTGGCCTCTGAGCTGTTTAAGTTTGGGTAAAATTAAAAACTGAGATGTCTCATATTTAATCCCCAGCAGAGGAAATCACCACAGGATTCATGACTGATGTTTTCACATAAAGCAGTTATCATGACATTACAACACATGTATGGCAGGCTCATGAACACATTAACGAAGAATCCAAGCTTTGCTGTCAGTAAGTTTAAAAGATTCTCCTCTCCAAAAGCCACCCCACCCTCCCCATACCTTAAGGCAGCATGAATTCATACAGGTGTGTGCATATACAGATGGAAATACAAATGTACATACATACACAAGTCCCACACATTCAGAATATAACTAATACATTAAGAAATGTACACTAGAAAGTGTATATTCATCGCAGCATAATGCAAGTCACGTTCTAAAATCATTAATTTTTTTAAATTTGCTTTCTTTTGTTTTTTTCTTGAGAGTTCCTTGCAACTGACATTAGATTGCAAAAGTGCACTGGAATGGTTTATAAAGGTATTTTGTATAGAGCATTAAACTGGTAAAGACTATGACAAGTATCTTCTAGGTCTGCATCTGAAACTATTAACTAGATGTTATTTTAATCAATATCCAGCTACCACTTAATGACAAAGATCTTTGTGTAAAGAAAGTTTTACAGAAGGACCTTAAACCTTTTATAAAGGAAAAACTATTACTCCAGCAAACACTTCTCCAAGAAAAAGGGACTATACCTTGGCTTTGAAAGTATTACAATAGTCTTGATGAAAAGGCTTGCTTGATGCTTGGCTCTTCTACATCAAAGACATCAGGTTATCCTTAGACCTTGCTGATTTTTATCCATAGCACAAATGAACATGAATTGCATAGGGAGGGGAAACAAATCCCACCAGACTTCCAGAAATATAGGCACATAGGACTGATGGCACAACATTTTAAACCAAAATTTTTATTACGTGGCTAATATGTGGTTGGCTGCAGGCTACAAGTTCATCTAATCTGCATAATGAGAATAGAAAAAAATAAATTGACAGAAACCAAGGAAATGAAAGAGTTCTAGTGGCTCATATTGAAACAAAGCACAAAAAAACTGAAATAAAAGCTTTAACCTTAGTTTTACTCTCATTGGATCTGCTGTTTCATTAATGAAGAACCACTTTTTGTCAAAGGACAGATATACAGACCAAATTCTTCCTCTTTTCCTTCACCTTCCTGCAAAAAAACACCCATGTTGAGGTAGGGGGAGAGAAGAAAGGACAGATCTCTTTCTTGCATCTAGAAGGGTTTGTACAGATCATTTGGGTTTTATAAAGAAGACACAGAATCAGAGGCACACTTTAACACACGAATGCACCTGGATACTTATCAACCCCCTCCAGTAACTACCTCTAAAGTTGTGTGTTGGCAGAAATGGAACATTAGCAAGGCTGTACAGGGGATTTCACAGAGATCTACAAGGAGTGCAATAGTGCATGTCTTGGCAACAGCCCTGGCTCTGCAGTGTAGGGATCTGCTAGAACTTTGCCATAGCACAAAACTCCTTAATACAAGTTTTATTTTAAGGAATTTCTTATTTCTATTTTTTATTTTATTTCAGTAATATAGGAAGGCTACATATTTGAAATTAATATAAATCCTTTAAAGTAATTTTAAAACTTCAACATTTTTTCTGTTTATTTAAACTTGTAGAAGAATACATTATGCATTTCAAACATGCAGTTAAGGAAAGAACTGAAAATACTAAAATCAAATAATGCCATAACAGCCAAGTAAACCTGTAATAGTAAAATATTTTCTCAGAAATTCTGTAAACAGATTGTGATTGGGACCTCTCAGGAAGAACTGTCTGAAAAAGTAAGATCTCAAGAAACAAAATCCTAGAAAAACTGAAGCATGGTCATCAGAAAACCATCTCTTAAACATCCACATTTTATACTTTGTATAAGCCTATTTAGGATACAAATGAACAAATAAGCCTTAAGAGTAATTGAACACAGAAACTGAACTGATGATAGGGAGTGTCTCCTGCTGTCTTGCAGCAATTTAGTTACTGTAAGATGGTTGGAAACCGACCTTAAAGATCATCTAGTTCCAACCCCACACTATGGGCAGGGACGACTTGCACTAGACCAAGTTGCTCAAAGCCCCATCCAGTCTGGTGCTGAGCTTTAAAGGACAGGGCATCCACAGCTTCTCTGGGCAACTTTGTCCAGTGCCTCACCACTCACATAGTAAAGACTTTCCTCCAGTATCTAATCTAAACCTACTTTCAGCTTAAAGCCATTATCCCTTATCCTACCACTACATGGCCTTGTCCAAAACCCCTCTCCAACACTCTTGCAGGCCCCTGTACGTACTAGGAGGCTGCTCTAAGATCTCCCAGAGACTTATTATCCAGAAACTTATCTCTTTCCCAGGCTGAACCCAAACTCTCAAGTCTTTTGTAGACTTGTAGACATCTGTCATAGACAAGGTGCTCCAGCCCTCTGATGATCTTCATGTCCCTACTCTGGACTTACTCCAACTAGTCCATGTCTGTTATGCTGGGGACCTCAGAGCTGGATGCATTTCTCCAGGTGGAGTCTCACCAGAGCAGAGCAGAGCAGAGCAGAGCAGAGCAGAGCAGAGCAGAGCAGAGCAGAGCAGAGCAGAGCAGAGGGGCAGAGGGGCAGAGGGGCAGAAGGGCAGAATCACCTCTCTGGACCTACAGGCCATGCTTCACATGATGCAGCCCAGACCATGTTTAGGTTTCTGGGCTGCAAGCGCACACAGCTGGGCCATGTCCATCCCCTCATCCACCAGCACCCCCAAGTCCTTTTCCCCAGGGCTGCTCTCAATCCATTCTTTTCCCAGCCTGCTTTTGTGCTTGGGATTTCCCTGCCTCAGGGTAAGCTTGCTGTGCAACAGCACTCCAGGTTCCTCAAGGCAAAAAGTAATTTAAATAATAAAATATCCTTGACTCTCATAGAAGCCAAGTAAGAAAGAGACTACTTGATACATTGTTCCTGGGAACATGATTACAAACAGATGAGTAACACGGAAAAGGGATGTTTCCTTTTCCCTAAGTTCAGTTATTTCCAGATGCAAACAAGAACTCCCTTGAAATAGACATACATTTGGAATGTGAATTCTAGTCATTGCATATTGTAACACCTTTCAAGGGGTAACCATTTTAGTTGACTTTGTTTCCTCTGTTGCAGGAGACAGCAGAGCATGTTTCCAGACATGTAACTCACAGCAAGAATTTGACAAAGAACAGGTGAAATTCTCATCTATATTGAAACTGCCTGCAGTAGGCCAGAGATGACAAAGGCATGTTAACTATGATTCCTTTACTCCTTCATTCCTCCATTTTCCAAAGATCATGCTCTTAACTGTGTCCCCAAAGATTAATATCATATTAAGTAATATTCATATACATCTAAAAGCACTTAATTTATGCTGCAAAGTAATAAGCTACATATTTTTTTTCTATAGAACCTCTGCAGGAATTCTACCACCTTGTGTGACATTACTGGCCAACAAATAAAATTTAAATGCAAACCAGTCATGCAATGGTAATACATTCACTGAGCCTTTCCAAAAAGCATTTTCAAAACAGTTTTAAAAGGACAGAATGAAAAGAGATTTACAAATCCAGTCAGTTTTAACTTATCCAAGTAAAAGAAAGGAAGAGCTTTTCAATATTTCAATATATATAATGTATATTGAAATGTATATTGATAATATTTCAATATTTCAATATATAATCCTGCTGTGAGGAGAAGGAAAATCAAGTTCCTTGAAAAGCTTCTGCATTTGGAGGTTTTTTTCAAGCAACAACTGCTTGCCTCCCACTTGTTATTTAATCAGTTCACTGATAGAAATCTGGAGAATTTACAGGAGAATCAAAACAATCACAAGTAAAGAAATCTTTATTCTTCTCACAACAGATTCTTAGAGAGTTCTGAAATAATACTGGTAGGGAGATGCAAACTAAAAGGTCACCTGTATTTGAGTCTCTCAGTACTTTGGTACCACAGATGAGAGCACCTTTCCTGCCAGTACACAAGATATTAGGCATTCTTTGCTATGGATTTGTAAGCCAACTATGAAAAAAGCCCAACCCAGGGCAGAGCTGTCACAACTGACTCTTTGGTTTAAATGTATTGACAATGCCAATTTAAAGTAAGAAACAAAAAGCTTCAGATACAACTATTAAACTCAATTGACCATACCAGTTTGTTCAACCAAAGCATCCTCATTGACCTCAGTACTCTTATATTGCATATATAGCAGGTTTTGAATTAGGCATCACAGACATAACAGTTAAGTGACAATGCAGCATTTACAGTGGCATCTGAGGCAGAAGCAGCACCTCTGAGTGTCCCATCCCAGGTTACAAACCAGTGATTTTCTGACAGCCATTTTCTCATTGTAAATGAGTCACTTGAAATGAAGTATGAAGTCAAACAAAAATGGCACGACTGAGAGTACAAGACCTTAACTAACAGAATTTGATGTATAATTGGCAGCTAAATATTGACCTTTACTTTGCTTCTGGAAAAAGCTGCTAAAATGTATTCTAGAGACATGAACAGATTTTACTGCAAGTATAAATAAATCCCAAACCAATAATTTAAAATGTGCGTATACAGCAAAATTTCTCAATTTAATTACCTGTATAAGAAACATAATACCCGATCCATTTCACTCAAAACTACTTAATGTCAAAATAGCAGAACAATTTTTTGGTCAACAATATTTGCACTGGAGATTTTTTTTCTTTATGATACATTCTACTGTGCACATCATATGCCTGCAACTCTTTTATCAGACTACTTTTTTTCATAGGTAAACAGTGGCATTTAAAAAAAGCAGTGAATTCTCAAAACTCAGAAGTATAGCAAATAAAGTCATTAGGAAAAAGCAATGCATAAATCTATTCACTTATGTGATAGCAGCATCTGACAATTACTTGGACAAAGATGGTAATGCAGAAGACATTTTCCCATAGCTCTGAAAAAGCTTACTTCTGTGGCAGCAAAGTCAAAAAACTCACTTTCTTACAGAAAAATTCTAACGAAGAAATTTGATTCCCCTGTAAAACGTCCCCTTTTTGTTTTTCAGCAAATTGGACCGAACTTGTCAGATTGTCTACCTATTCACTTCTATAACAAATTGTTAACACAAAATACAGCAGAGCACACTGAATAATTAATTTCCAGAGTTCACCTTTATTAAAAACAAGGTTTTTGTTGTGAGAACAAATAATCTCTCACTCGTAGCTTGAAAGCCTAAGATAGGATCATTGGATTCCAGGGTTGCTACCAGCTGCTTAGCAACCTGTCCTACTTGTCTTCCTTCCTTCCTGTTGTAGAGAACTGTGGCCAGAGGTGTTGGCTGGCGATAGATGAAAACTCGTCGCAAGCACTCGCAAAGAGCAGCGTAGGAGTAATCTGGAGCACAAGCCATGAACTTCTTGTCTTGCTTTGATGCTTGGACATAACCTAAATAACCCAAAACCAAACAGAAGGGATAAGTAATAGATGCATTTCAATAGAAGTTTAACTGGCAGATAAAAACCCAAGCTTAACTTAAAAACTAATGTGCAATTTTTAACAAAAAATATAACCCCAAACAAACAAACAAACAATGACAACCAACCAACCAAAAACACCCAACATAAAAAAAAAACCCTAAACCACCAAAGCACTCTTATTACATAAGTCAGTACTTTCTTAATGGATGAATTAACCAGTGGTGCTGGTTTTGCAATAATTGATAGTTGGTGAGGAGGCAAGAATAGTACCAATATACAATTCTCATATACCTCATCTTAACTGGTGTTTTGGATACATATGTACAGCGAGATACTCTTCCCACATCTGGTTCCTTTGTGCCTCACAAGGTCTTTCATTTTCTCAGCAGGATCATGAGGCCACAGACATGGTCCATATGGGCAATCTTGGCCCAATATTTGCAGCCTAAGTAGAATAAATCTATTGTCTCTCCTCATCTCCCAGTGTGTAATTACATTTAAAAATTAGGATTTCTGAGCCCACCCGATCTTGAACAGACACTTAAAACTTGTTTTCTGTTTAGAACTGACTGAAGAAAAATGAATTACTTTTTAACACACTGTAATTTCTGTTAATATTCACTCATAGATTCATTTCAGACTGATTTCCTTTCACACTTCTGTAATGAGAATTGAGATACAATCTTTGCAAAGTGATCTACCATCTTTCTGCAAGGTAATTTGCTTAATTTCCACTGAAAAAATGCATGCCAATGGTTATCACATGAGTCAAGAAGACAGGAAAAAATCTAAAGGTCACTTATTAAAACACCTTACCATAAGATTACACACACCGAGACATATAATGCATTAACTGCAGCTATTGCCCTGACAATGTCTGTGTGAGTGTTAAGGTAGTGATTATGCTTTTCAGTCTCTAACTCAAGGTCACTTATCCAAGGAACTCTCTTTTTTACCATGCAGTTCTGTGCTTACATCCTATACACGGTCTGAAAAGGCTTATTTTACTTCCAGGGCATAAACATTTCATTTCTATGTTCTCTTATTTCTAAAATTAAGCTACCATGCTGCTATCGACAGAATTATAATTACTTTCAATTCCAGTTTAAGAAAGTGAAATATCAACATAAGGCATACCAGAAGTATTCAGGTAGAAAAGTCTCAGAGGTGTGTGACACAGAAGTTAATTTCTTACCTAAAGCATTAAAAGTAGCAATGTGTTCCCACATATTCTCTGGTTGGTCAGAGTGAGGCTGCCAGAGAAGAGCATCAACATCATGCCTCAGGCAGAAGCATGGCATTTCTCTGGGATTCACAACAACTGAGAAAAGATACTGGTTGCTTCCAAGATTAATCTGAAAACAAAACAAATATAAAATATTTATTCAAAGCACAAATAGCAAATTCTGTTACACATACTGCCAAAGTTAGATGATCACCAGTTTTATGTTTGTTACTTGACAAAATGTTTGAATACATTATGCTGCATCCCACTGATCAACACCACAGGTGCCTTACACATTTTAAGGAGATGCAATTAAGTTCATTGGAGTAATATTGAGAGAAAAATTATGTCCACTAGACAAGGAAATGGGAATGTGTTTTGTGCAGACATGGTTTTCTAGGGTAGATCCTAACCTACAACCTTCTCACATTAGGAAAAGATTCTCTCTAAGTAATCACATCTGGTTTTCTGCAGGGCTAACAGGGAAGGACATACTGTCCCTCTCAGGTAAAAGCTGGCAAGAACTAAAACAAGGATTAGACAGAATACTAAAATGATGAAATGTTAACATTTTTAATTTACTCGCAATCAAGTAATTACTAAATTTCAGATCAGCACACTCTTCAATGAAAATGTTTGGAGGAGTTGTGGGTAAAAAGCTATACCAGCCCCATTTCTGAAGGAAAAGGCCCCATAATTGCTAACAAGAAATCCTAAACAACTTGAAATAAGAACTAAATCAAGGTGAAAATACTTCCCTGTATGCTGAAAAATATACTGAAATACTCATATTTCTACATATTCTAACAAGGACCAAAACCGCAAGTTCCCATAGAAGAGGTTGAAATTAATATTTCCTACCCACAGATAAATGTCCTTTTACCCTAATGCTTTAAACACATTAACCTTTAAATTACTTTTATGCCACCCATTTTAAGAACTTTTTACAAGCACCCTGGAGTTCAAACTTGCTCCACAATGTCTTGCTGCCTACTAGAAAGCAGCCTTCTGTGTGATCCCATGAACTCATGTTCCTCCTGATCTGTGAAACGTCTCGGGCATTTCTTACCCTTCAGTGTGAGGAGCAGTAGTTTAGGCAGAGTTATTTATTAATGAAGTAATAGGTATTAGGAACTTTATCCAGTCTGGTATTGAAAATCACAAGGACAGAGGCTTTACAATTTACCAGGCAACCCAAACCATGCCACAACCACAATATAGTTTTCGCTTTCATCCAGTTCAAAAAAAACCCCAAAAAACCTCACGACAAGTTAATCTGTAATGTTTTCACATAATTTTGTTTCCAACTCCAAGCAACAGACCAGATCAAATCCTAGCTTACTGTTAGTCACGGTTGCTTACAACCCAAATCAAGCCCACTATTGAAGCATTTTGCCCCCTGTCTGTTATTTTCAGTGTGATTGACAAAAAAGTACCATAAAGTAATCTGTGCTCCAGCTTCTTAGTAAAAAAAGTCAGGTTTCTACCAGACTGTCTGAAAAACTACTGTGGAAAATGCAAGCTAAGTCATCTAAAATTTTATGCCACTGAAAAAGATCCTTTTCTTATAATTACTTTGATATAACTTTGTTTTTTAAATGGCTGACTTGTGAAAGTATATGTATTTTTTAATCAGAACAAAAGGAGCTTTGTTTTTATATTAAAATGATATCAAAGGACACATACGGATTGACAATTTCTGTTGCTACTGTGATTTGATATCATGGGAGAAATTTATGTGATTTCAACAGTCTATAGATTTTTGTACTGATAATAGATGTCAAATTCCTCACAAAAGAGTGCTTTGAAGTATTTCTGTAATAATTAGCAGTACTTACTATATGAGTGACTTTCAAGGTATCACCATCAAATCTGCACAAGCTTGCACCGTCTTCCAGGAAAGCATCACACTCTTCTAACTCTTGAGCATTACAAGGTGGGTTTTCCTTTTCGGGGTTTGGATTCTGAAAAAAAGAATGAACTACACTGAAAATTGAAACTACTGAAAAAAAAAAATAATCATTTTTATGACACAAAAAAGACCCCAAAGAACAACTGAAGAATTATTTGCATATCCATACATACTGAAAGATTAAGCTACTATTTACTCACTCAAAATAAATATAACAATTTCTGCTGTGGAGGACAGCAGAAGTGGTAGATACAATAAAATCTATTTCAGTTTGAGGAAAGGTACATAAGCCACTAATACATGGACAACAAATACCCTAAGTAGCAAAAGTATACAATTCTGAAAACATATGCATATTTAGTAAATGTACATCAGTGTAAGCTTATTTCAGCTTGTCATCGGTAATGCTATTGAAAAATGGATTGATTCATTTTATAAGCAGCTCTAAATACATGACACATTTTAGTTTTGCTAATAATAATTTTAATTTATTAAAATATATTTAAAATTAATGAAAACTTATGATTAAAAAATCATCACTTTAAGCTTAGTATGAAGTACAAAAGAAAATAAATTTGAAGTTCCAAAAAAATCTATGGTCAAAAGATACACTACAATATCTTGCTCACAAATACTGAGGGAGAGAGAAATCAATCTGGAGTACTAAATGGAATTTATTTTAATAACACTTTTCAGCCTTATTAAAAACAAAGTAATAATCCAAACCTAATATATCAAAAGCCACATGGAGGCACACTTCATAAATTCTCATAAAATGAGATGCCATTTTCTAATTAAACCAAGTATCAAGTAAATAGCAGCTAAAAATTACATTTTACTTTAAGTAGACTTCCTGTATGACAAAAATGCCAGAAAGTTCATGAGTCATGTTTATAGTTTCCTAAATTTTCCTTTTAAACATGGCATTTACACTCAGTCTCCAGGTCAAGTACAGTATCCCTAGGAAGACAGTATAAAATAGGTTTTGCTAACCTATTGATAAACAAGAAACAGACATCTTTCAAAATCATTTAATTAACTGCTTTAAAACAAACTGGCACATCCTAAATGGTGGGAACAAAGTTTCTTTTCAATGCTAAATCAAGCTTCTGTTTGTTGCATAGACACCATCATATAAGTTAAATTCAGTCCCCCTTGAAGATGGTTTTACTGTTCAAAGTGCATTCACAACTCTAGTGCCATTAGTTTGTTACAGCTTCAATTAAAAATGAATGAATAGTAAATGAACTGATGAGTTGGGTCAATGCAGTGCAACTTAGGGCATCAAGAAAAGACAACATGTACAAGAATTTTAAGTCTTTGATACTTGATTCTTTAACATTACTTCAGAGGTAAGATGCATCAGGCTTTCAGCTATTTCAGAGCATTGGGAAGGGTCCATAATGAATTCCCCTCTTGTATCACCAATGATTAGCTCTGGCCACTGGCACCCCTCGTTTTTCTTAATCAGAGAGATTTCCAAGCTAAAATGGAAAGAGAAGATAAAGAGTAACACATGAAAACACTACATCCATTCGTCAGATTAGTCAAAAAGCTCTCAATGTAGATAAGAGCACTTCTCTTCAAACTGAATTAATAATGAAAATCACAGAAACCATTAGCATTCAAATTATAAAATACACCATACTAACAAAAATATTCTAAAGAAAAACAGACCAAGCATGTGATTTTCTAATAGCCTAAACAGAAACCTCTTATAGACCACTTATATTTTCAATATAAGTGTAGTTTACCCTGAAGCAGACTCATTAAAATATTTCAAATATGGCAGGAAATCACTTGTAAAGCAATCTATTCAAAGACTGACAGAATTTTAATACTGAGGTTTATTTGAAACATAAGCAGTAGTTCTTAGGGCTATTTAAGTGTGCCCTACCTCTATATAATATCTAGGACAAAAATATTTGTATTTTATGGCCTCAAAAATACTACATCAATTAATTATCTACACTGTCTCTCTAAAGTTCTATCTCAGAAGAGGTTAAGATTTCTGTAACATGTAAAAACAAAACCCAACAACAACGAGAACCCAGTATGATCACTAAACTATTAGGAATAACTAATTAAATAAACAAAAAATGAGACACAGCCCAATGCACCAACATAGTAATTCCATGTAAATACTGTGTGGGACAAACATATAGATATAAGTCAGTTTTATTATACTCACTTTTTAAATACACTTTAAGGTTCTCCAGCAATGACAAGCACTGTAGTGCTCCTAACAAGAAAACCCTCTAAGTTACTAATTACTGCACCACAGCAGCAACTCTGAATCAGTTTCTAAAGCAATTGCACTGGTATTAGGAACAGCACACTTTTATAGCAGACATCTGAAGCAAGTTTTTGACTTTTAATCAATTGATTTATAGCAGTGATGCAGTATGAAAATTAAGAACTGAGTGTAACTTATTACATTGAAATACGGAATTACTCTTTCTCATTAAAGTAGAAACCTGAGATTCATACAATAATGCTCACTTGAATGAGTAATAAAAAAATCAAGTTATTCAGCTGAGTTATTTTTCAGCATTTTAATCACAGTCAAATTTTAATATAGAGTAACAGTATAATCTATACAAAAATATTAGTCCCTCTTAATTTTTTTTTGAGAATCACTGTCCTTTACAGTTAACCTTTTGGAAACTGCAAAAAGCCAAGCTTATCACAACTCAGAAGGGTAGCCTTTGTTTTAGGTAAACAGCTATCAGCTGTTGAGTGGATCACCTGGTGGTCTACATGTTTCTTCTTGAGTTCATTAAAGAGTGTGAATATCTCTGAGATAACCAGACCAGTGGGTAAGTGAATACCTGGCTCAGCCCAGGCAGAGTATGAAAACTAGACAACACAAAGAAAAACCTGACTATGTTTTAGGGAGCTCTGAATTATTTTTTTGCACCCTCTTCATTCTTTTGTATTTTTATTTCAGAATCTAAAAAAAACCCTAAAATTTAGTTCCCAGATAGAAACAGGAACATTTGTATTTGACATCTACAGCATGTTAAATTCACAGAGATTTATCTTCTATAATGCACATATAATTTTTTAGGAAAATATAATAAAAAATTTATAAGTCAAGCCTAAAGAATTTATGTTGAATTATTATTAAAATACTTGCTTGTGGAAAGTGGAAGGGAAATTACCACAAACAATAAGCTACACTGGAACTAATAAATCCTGAAACATACCAAAAAAAAAAATAAAAATTGTTGGATCAATTAAGTTTACTCTTCTTACAAATCTATGTTTAATATTTTGATACTGTGTGGGTTTTTTTTAATACAGAGAATAACTGGAAAATAACTGCAAAAGGAAGTGATTACTTTCAGAATTAGATGAAGAAACAGTACTCAGACAGCAAAAGCCAGTGAACCGTTTTCAAGGGAAGAGACATTCTTGCAAGAAGGGACACTGGGTGTAGCATTCAATGAGATCATTCCAGAAGGGCCAGAAATCCAATACGGTGTATGTTTTGAAATCAGTTCCTATCAATAGAAAAACTAAAACTACCTTTTATTCTCTCTAATTATCCATGTGCAGCTTTCATGGTCCACAGATGAATAGAGCTTTCCTTCCATCAAAGGAGGCTGGTCTTTCAGCGTAACCCATATATTATCAGGGGAAAAACGTATTTTTATGTCATCTTTTGTGATGTCTTGAGGCAGCTGAACTGTTATTGTCACATCATCTTGAGTCTGCTGCCAGTAGTAGAGAGGGTCTACAATTGGAAACATGCAGGAAAATACAAATTACAAGGATTACTGGATTCCACAGTCTCCAGTGCTGAGACATTTGGCATTTAGTAAAAGAAATGTTTTTGAAAAAGTGTAAATTAACTTTTACTCTGAAAAACTTACACAAAATATATCCTGATCATAAAATGGAGAAACACCTTTTTAGCAATCAACTTCATTTGTATCCTTCCTTTCAAGAATAATTTATATTCATGTCTATACTCAAATACGCTGATAGTTATACAATGGGCATTAACTGTTACTATTAACTTTACCATAGCGTTATGAAACTGGAAGCCAAAATGTACTTAAATACATGAAACATTAATGATTAATAATTTGGTTGAAGAGACATCAGGTGCAGTATACTGACAAGCTACTGCATGCTGGAAGTACATGCCATTTAGTGATGTGAACACTTTTTTCTTACATATGTTGCTGGAAGCTATGCTGACTAGTCAACAGAAATGATTTTATAAGACTAAGTAGTCTTAATCTGCCTCAGCTAATGGAGATGAAATAAAACTACCTGCCCAGAGGTAGTAACTGACTTTTTCTACAGTGTCTAGAATCTGTCTGATTATTAAACTGCTAGAAGAAATGGCCTTTTTAGAGAAATGTTTATACAAAAGAAAGGCTATGACAGCATGAGTGGGTAACACAGAAAATAGAAATACAGATGAATATATTTTCTAAAGAGCAATCTTGTAAAAGTTACCTTTCTATTTTGAGAAAAAGTACAGTACAGGTTTCCCCTTGAAAGCTCTCAAGTTGTCACAAACCAACTCAAGAGTCTACTGATCAAAGCCTCATACCAGCAACTGTGACTCTGGAAGGACTCTTGCACTCCTGCCCTTTGCCACAACTGCCCTGGTTGCAATGGATCAGTTGCAGGTGCTACAATTACACTTCCCCAGAAATTATTACTATCTGAGACATGACAGCTTTCAAAATTTTGAACACTGATACAAATGGTATCTGATATTAAAAGTCCATTATACCTGCAATTTTATATAACTGTGCAAATAAGACTAGAGCCTACGTTACTTTGCATTGTGGTGCTCAGTGCACTGAAGAACTCCTTTGCCTCAAGATTTATATATACAGACTATTCTTAATAAAATTACATGTACAAAACCACAGTTGTCAGTGTTTAACATTAACACATTCCAGAAATTTGATCCTTTTGTATTGTTTTCCAAGTAGATTTTCACACTATTAACAAAGATTGTGCTATTATTCTTCAGTTAGAATTTGTTCACTAACCAACGCTTCATATGCAGAAACAAAAATCAAACATAAAGTAATCCAACATAATTACATAGACATTACAGAGCTTAGTGATACTTAGGAATAAACAACTCTATTAGGTTTCTATATTCTTAGTTTTGTTTTGTTTGCAAAGAAAAAAAAAGTACAAATGCATTTTATTGAAGTTTTTTTGAACTACTTTCCCATTGGAGAAAACAGAATCTTTTACAGGAGTCTCATTCCTTAAAAAGATTTTTCAAAATAATTATTTAAATTTTAGAAAGGCAGGAATTACATAAAATTACACATCAAAAGGCTTTCTGATGAATAACAGTTTGGGGAGGTCAATGCCCCCCTCCCATCCAGGAAGACTGGTTTCTTAATTTGCGTACTTCAGACAGATGCCTAAATTTAGGCACGAGCAATCCAACTAATACCAAAAACCTATTATATGTCTGTCTGCAAAATATCCTTTTCCTTAAGACAATGGAATTCTTTAAGTGTTTCCTATCCAAAAGAAAGCACCTAATACAGGTTTATGCACAATACAACTTCCAACAGTAAAGGCAAACAAACAAACAAAAATCAATCTGTCCATAAGACAGATATTAAAACACTTATTGCTAGAGTTTCCAAACAAATGCCAAACTAACAAGGTGTGTCCTAAGTCAAAGAGAGCAGACTATCATAAACCTGTCAGACTAAGTCTTACCTTTCTTTTCATTTGATACTTTTGCATCATCATTTTCTTCTAATTTGTCTCTTTCACTTTGCATATATGTGAATGGTTTGTGGGAAACAATCATTAGACCATCCCCACTTGGCTCTATTGCTGCATAATGAGGGACTGATTTTCCTTGCAAAATTCTCCTTTTAACAATTTCGTATCTATGATCACCTATAAAATAAAATTTAAAAAAGTCATAATATATTTCTAGAAGACAAATTATTACCTAAGGAACTCATTACATTTAAAAATACTATGCAATCCTACTTGTTAAATCACAGTACCATGGTTTTCCAATGAGTTACACTGGATTAATCTAAGACTTCATTTTATTGTTATGATGCCTTTGCTGATCACAGCTAGTCCAGCACAGCCTCAGAACAAATAATTTTTTTCTTGTAGAGAAGGTAAGAAGAAAGCTAAGCATATCACATTTTCTGAATCTCATAAGGCAGCATGGTGGCTCCTCATTTCAAGCTTTTACAGCAAGTATTTCTAAAAGTTTGGTTAATGAAAGAAAACCAAATTTGAAAGGGTACACTTTTGTTAGAGTCCTCTGAAGTACCACAAAAGATATGAAAAGACCTTACCACTGCCCCCATTCTGATTTATTTTCATGTTTCCATTTTTTTCCTTTGGTAACACAATAGTGGTGAGTGTGAACCTTTCGTCTGCCAAACAGGGCAGAGATCTCACATTTGTCCATATCAAGAGACATAAACATGTTTTAAGGCTTTGCTCTGATGAAGCACAGATTTTGGAAATTTAAGAAATGGTTTGTTGATTAACTACTTACTTTTACTAAAATCTGAAAAAAACTGCATCCACAGACAGTTTCAAAGAAAGGCAAGCAACAAAAATTGATTACTAATGAAAGAGATTGTAAAGTATTGTAATTCCTCAAAACCGCTTTTATCTTTGAGACTGGTTCATACATCAGTCTGATTTGTGAGATGTTTGTTTAAATAAAATCAAATTTATTTCTCTTTTCACAATTAAAGATTGCTTTAAATTTTGTAATTTCCATCTCTCCTGACAGTAATTTCAAAAATTTTTTGTTCTCTGGAAATGCTGAAGAGCTGGCAAGATTTTTTGAAAAAATTTTAAATCTACTTTTAAGGATTCCAAAAATATTTGTCATAAATTATAAAACATACAATGTAAAAAAGGACTTTTTATTAAAGTGTACAGCATTAAAAAATACAATAAAAGTCTGTGCTGACTTCTGAGTAACAGTTTTCAGCTCTAGACTGACAGCGTTACTGATTTAGTTTTTCTTCTAAGTTATAAACAGTATTGTTCACAGGTTTCTTTCTCTCGTTGAGCTGGCCATAAAAGCATAAGGCAGTTGGTCTCATGTGGCTTTCTGAGATGTATTTCCATCATCCAAGGTTTCAAAAGCAGAAAATATAACTAAAGCCACTGAGGGCAACACAGCTGGTGAAAGGGCTGGAAAGAATGTCCTGTCAAGACTAGGTGAGGACTTCAGGCTTGTCTAGTTTGAGGAAAATGAGGCTGAGGGGCAACCTCATTGCTGTCTGCAGTCTTCCTAGGGAGGGGAAGTGGAGATGGAAATGCTGAGCTCTTCTTGGTATCCAGAATGGGACAAATGGGAATGGTTCAAAGCTGCACCAGATGAGGTTCAGACTGGACACTAGGAAGCATTTATTTCCTGAGAGGGTGGTTAAACACTGCAGCAGGCTTCCCAGAGAACTATTCTATTCAATGCTATCCTATCCATATTAGATATGTAGGAGATGGAAGAGCATTTGGCTAGTAACATCACTATATGCCTCAACTGCTTTAGTCCAACTAGTTAAAGCTCTTGTTTCTATCAGTGTCAAAATTTTATTTCTTGTAACATAATGAGCAAGACCATATCACAGTCATTCCAAGAATGTCTATTAATTTAATCCATGCATCTTTAAATAAGACAGCGAGTGACACATAGGGTCTTGTATCCTTTATGAACATCATGATATTTAATGTCATACATATAGGGTCGTATTGAATATATAAAGTCTGATTTGTCAAACTTTATTAGGATAAAATATTAATTAGTAGGTATTAATATACTAACTAATATGTTTTCAATGTGTTGGTCCAAAATTAATGGAATAACTTCATACTCTTATTCCAGGAAAACCTTTTACACTATTACATTTATGGTCTTACATTTATGTCGTACTACTTCCAATCCCACTACATCATTAACTGAATGCTAAAAAACAACAACAACAAAAACATAACCAAACACCCATATCCACCTGTAAAATATTTTAAAAAATATAACAGACATTAGGTAGAAATAGTTCCATATAACCTCGATTTTACAAGACCCAGCTAAACAGAAATTGCATTTTGTAACATTCAAGTAAAGTGCTATCTTGTTTTCTAATTATCTAATTATCATATTTCTAATATGACACAAGTGCAAAACTTTACTTCTTCCTGTTTTCCAAATGTCTCTAAAAATTTAGCTCTATAACCAATAACTTGATTTCAAAGTATAAGAAAAAATTATCTATGTAAAATCTAAGCTGAGGAAAAGAAATATCAGAACCTGTGGAAAGATAACTTCTAAGACAAAGAATAAAAACATTATTTTTATTTTTTTTAACATTACTCATCAGTAATATAAATATAAAACACTTACCCTCTTTTCTTTCTGCAATTGTAAGCCATTCCAAGGTAACATGAAATCCGCTTCCTTTTGTGTCCAGTTCATCTTTTTCTACCCTAAGCACCAGCACAGCTAGTGAGTGTGAATCAGATTTTACAAATGAAACACTGTGTGCTAAAATAAATGGACTTCCTAGTTCTTCATTAAACACAATCTAGAAGAAAAAATGTAATAAAAAAGTCAAGTCAGACAGTTAAAGCTGGAAGCCTTGCTCTTTTACAGAAAGCAGGGAAGAGTTTCAGTGAATGTCAAATTAGTAACAGTTTGTCGCCTACAAATCTCTCTGACAATATGAATCCACAAATGTCACACATTTCTGGTTCCTCCTTCTGTGGCTATCAAGCTACCGTACTGAAATGTTTTTAAACATTACTGTTTATACTGAACAATCATTATAAGAGCCCATTAAACAAAGCACAAAGATCCCCAAACCTCTCTGCATTGTGCCTGGTTAGCACTGCAATAAATAGAGGTACAGCAACTGATGAGAACAAGAGGGTCCATAAACACTGCCTATCAACTGGCCGAAGTCTCACACTCAAGATGAAAACGTAGGCATTTCCCCAAGGCCCCCACTAGTTCTCTATTCTGAAAATCCTCGGAGACCTGTACATACGCAAACAAGAAGACAAAGGTCCACAGCATCACTGCCAGTGTTCAATCATCAAACATGCCATTATTTGGCTTTTCAAAGAGATCCTATTTTCCTCCTCTATGAACTAAGAAACAAAAAGCTATAGTGAAATGAAGGAGATAATATTCATGTTTAGGAGATGCTAGGGTTAGAAGTTCTTGAATTTTTATTTATGTACATGGATTGGAAAAGTCCACCCAATATTTGAATGTGACTAAGTAGGCAGAATGCCTAACTATTACTGTCATATTGAAAGGCTAACGAATACCACTGTGAATATAAAATATCATTAATTATGAACTTAAAGTTATAAATTTCATTAATTTATGAATTTTTTTACATTATGTGAAAATTATTTCATTAATTTCATATAGGATTCCGTATCTTATAGTGTGAGAGATTTGATACCTATTGCTGGAATTTTTAGTTCTAAAAACCATGTATTCCAAATTTTTTCAAGAAGTACTCATTCAGCAAAAAACTGAAGAAGATAAAAACAAAATTAATCCAAACAACAAGAAAAGAAACATTATTTGCTAGAAGATTAACATATGAAAGTGAAAGGATAAATTACAAAGAATTCAAACTGCAGTGGTTTAATGAGTTCAATCCAGCAGTTGCTACTGAAACCTGATAAAATTTGAGGATTTATAGTGTTGTGATATTAACACGACTGTAAACCACTGCATGCTCTACATACTCAATAAGTCAATTTAAATGATGAAGGAACCTCAGATATAAATCTCATATTTTTGTTACACTGACAACTTCAATGTAACTTATTTATGTGTCAGCATTCTCACACAGAACAGAATAAAAACCAGATGGTATTAATTACCAAGCATGTAAAACCAGGATGATCAATTTCCTTCACTGAACTCTCAAAAGATGTAGAGAAAGGAGCTAATCCATCATGCTGAAATCTTCCACTTCAGTATACACGCCTACATTTTTGCCAATACTAAAACATCTGTGGTTTCTTAGGAAACTACCCTCTAACCAAGAAAATAGACGCAAAATGCGGGCACTTTTTACCAGATTCATCTTCCATAAACAAAGAGGAACTAACCGGAGAACATGAGACTCACAGCTTCAGGTAGGAATGTAACAATTATATTTGTTGTGTCCAAGCAGGATAACAAATCCCATTATTAATGCAGTTAGGTCACTTTGATAAGGGTATATGTACAACTCCTAAATACATTATTGCAGGACGTACCTCCCACTTTTCAGATGCACTGCTTCCACGCTTGCCTGATTTAATTAAATACAGTCTTCCTGTACCATCAGAAAGGGTAACCCATGTGGAGGATGAGAAATGCATTGAGGCACAAAGGCGATTATCACATGCAGTCAAGTCTGTAGGTAGCCTGAAAACTTCTCTTGGTTTTTGTAGAGCAGTGTCCTATAAACAAGCAGTCATGAACTAAGACCTTATGAAGTATTTATTAGTTTCAATAAATATTACAGGCAAATTAAGAATAATAAATCTCTAATAAATAATAAATGTACCAGTTTTGTGTATCATTGAGCATATTTGGAAAAAAAGTGGGTAGCAAGCTTAATTCCCACAATTGTGGAAAAGGTGGTGGAAATACATCAAACTGGTTTCTATGAATGTTTTCTGATATTTCAGCACTTTTCCCTGCAATTTTAAGCAGTAATTATATTTTGCATTAGAAAAGGCTTTTAATTTCCCCCAACATTCCTATATAATAACCACTTACCTCAAATAATTCTAGTCCCAGGAAAAATGAGGAGACTTAAAAAGAAATGAAAGACACAGAATTGTATTCAAACTAGTGCATAAAACTCACCTGTAAATTTAAAAGGATTTTAGCTTAATCTGATGCACAACTGGCAAATATAATTTCTCAGCTTTCCTAGAGTGGTCACTTTATTCACTAATTTAAGAAAAGTAACACCTATGATTAGCCAGCAAAGAAAAGCTGTACTAATTCATACCACATTTTCAAATAACTTTCTATCACGTTATTATACTATGGAATTAAATCCAGTTGATGGCATCACTAGTGGTGCTCCCCAGGTCTCAGTACTGGGGCCAGTCTTGTCTAATATTTTAATCAATCATCTGGATGAAAGATTTGAGGGTACCCTCAGTCAGTTTGCAAAAGACACCAAGCTGAGCAGGAATGTTGATCTGGAGAGGGTAGGCAGGCTCTGCAGAGGGATCTGGACAGGCTGGACTAATGGGCCAAGGCCAAAGGTATGAGGTTCAATATGGAAAAGTGCTGGGCCCTGCCCTTGGGTCACAACCCCAGGCAGCACTGCAGGCTTGGAGCAGAGTGGCTGGAAAGCTGCCCAGTGAAAAAGGACCAGGAGTGCTGGTCAACAGTAGCTGAACAGGAGCCAGTGTGTGCCCAGGTGGCCAAGGCCAGTGGCATCCTGGCCTGTATGAGAAATAGCTGGGCAGCAGGATTAGAGAAGTGGCTGTCCCCCAGTACTGGGCACTGGTGAGGCTGCACCTCAGGTCCTGGGTTCAGCTTTGCCCCCCCACTATAGGAAACACACGGAGGGGCTGAAGTGTGTCCAGAGAAGGGCAAGAGAGCTGGGGAAGGGTCTGGAGCACAAGCCCTGTGAGGAGCAGAGCAGCTGAGGGAGTTGGGGTTGTTGTTCTGCCAGGAGAAAAGGAGGCTCATGGGGGACCTTATGGTCCTGTACAACCACCTGAAAGGAGGCTGTAGCCAGGTGAAGGTTGGTCTCTTCTAATAACAAGTGACAGGACAAGAGAAAATGGCCTCAAGTTGCTCCAGGAGAGGCTTAGATGATATTAGGAAAAATTTCCTCACCAAAGGAAACAAGCCTGGAACAGGCTGCCCAGGATAGCTGGTGCAATCACTATCCCTGGATATATTTCAAAGATGTATAGATATTATATATATATATATATATACACATCTTAAGGCACTTAAGGACACAGTTTAGTGATAGACCTAGCAGTGCTGGGTGATTGGTGGGACTCAATGACCCTAAAAGGCTTTTTCAACCTAAACAATTCTATGATTCTACTTCATGTCAGGATAAGTTTATTTAGAATCCTGTTGCAGTGCCACGCTGCAATCATTTTTAAACTGAACTACAGATAGCTTTTGAGCAGGAATAAACAAAGACACTATGGTGAACAAATTGCACAGATGATAAAATTCTTCAGTGAACAATCAAACATGTATGTATTTTTTAAAAATTATGCATACCACTACATTTTACGAAAAAAAAATAAAAATCCATTATTTCCTACTCTGTTAACTTTATACAAATCAGCTTGATTCAATAACAGTGCAAAATGGATGTTAGATTAACAATTTCATCATTATTTCTAGTAATTGTTCCCATAAATCCTTCTTTAGTTCTGTGTTCTTAATTTCCTGCTAATTCTAAGAGGAAAAAAAACCTGCTTTCATGCTGAAGATTTGATTTCCAACTTTTTTCATCAAGTACAGTGGCATGTCTTCTGGCATATCTTGTAGGGATTATTCTTTATCTTCTGCCTTAACTCACATACAGCTCTTTCTTTGCTGAAAAAGGCTTTGTGACTGACTTCTTCCTCATTATTTGGCTCATGGAATGTCAGCCATGCTGCTGCCTGCTTAGGACCAAGATTTACCTCCATTTTTTGTGTCAAAGTAACCTCTGAATACCCAAAAGGCTTGTTCAGTTAAAAGAAAACTAACAAAATCTTTATGATTTGAAAAGAATTTGACATCACAGATTAAAGAACAGTCAGGACATGCTTTATCAGCAATACAGCTTGATCAGCTAATTATGAAGTAGACCAGGCTGCAGTCTTAAAAACACAAACAAAATATTCTCACAGAAAAATATAAGATGCCAACTGGACATTCAGCAACATCACAGTTACATCTCTATAATCTTTTAAATAACTGAAATAGAACTTAATAATTGGAAGCATTTCAACTGAACTAAGAAGCTGTTAAATAAAATGGGCTGGCAGTCTGACACAAGTGGGGTCCCTCAGCGATTGATACCAGACCCCACACATGGAACATCTTCATAAGGTACCTGGATGATGGGATTGAAAGCACCCTCAACACATCTGCTGATGACTCTAAACTAAGTGACGAGGTAGACGTGTACCTACAAGGGAAAGCCATGTGTCACATGGGGCAGCAAGAACATTGGGAAAATAAGCAAAGACAAGCACAGTCCTGCACCCAGAATGGAAGAACCAGAGAGCTCTGAATAGGCCAGGATCCCTGTGGCAGGGAGAAGCCCTGATGAAGAGGACCTGAGGGCAATAGGGATAACACAGTGACCATAAGTCAGCAGTGCAATGCTGCAGCACCAAAGGTAAATTGGATCCTGGCTTGCATCTGCAGAAGTATCACTAGCAGAGATAAGAAATGTTATCATCCCACTCTACCCAGTGGTTGTCAGGCCCCATCTGGAATGACGTTGAAAGAAGACATGGACAGATTGGAAAAGGTGCAACACCATCAAATTCCTGTGGAATCTTCCCTGTGTGAGAAGATTGAAGGAGCTATGTCTCATCTCCCTAGAGAAGATTCAGGGGAAAGCTCATCACAGTGTTCCAGGGCAGCCACAAAGAGATCAGGGGCTCTCTCCTCACAAGAAGCCACGCAAAGTAGCAAAGACAGGGGATAGCAGCTAAAAGTTGCGTTAGGAGAGGTTTCATCTAGGCACAAGAGAAATTTTTACAATGAGAACAATCAATGACTGGAACAACCTCCCCAGGGACATGGCAGAAACTCTCATCACTGGAAGTTTTCAAGACTAAACTGGACAGAGTGCTAGATAACCTCATCTAGGCTCCTGTGGCCATGAAGGCTTGGATGATATGATCCTTTGAGATCCCTTCACCTGGGCTATTCTATGATTCTAAAATAAACAAAAGATGTAATTAAAAAAATCCAAACCCACACCATATTCACCACCTTGTCCCTCTTACAGGTTCATAGACTGCAGAATCTGATTTGCAGTCTTCCAGTAATAATAAAGAAAAGCAATTCTTGTTCTTTTCTGTATCTTGTGGGGAACATTTCTCAGGAAGTTATGGCCATTTGCCCTATTTTCACAGAGTTATATATATATATATTTATGTACCATACATGAACCAAAATTAGATACAATGGGTTTCATAGGTATCTTACAGGCCAGTGTACCTACATGTATTTGAACTATAAAATTCTGAAAAAAAGAGGTGCCTGACTGACCTTCAGAGGTCATTCCTTTTTAAACCCAATCTATACTCTTAATCCAACAACAGACCATGCTGAGAACATAAAAAATGGTTATAGAGCCACTGAAACTACTTTTCATTTTATTTTACTAGGCTCATTTCCAGTCAGTTGATCTACAATTATTTCTGAAGGTCCACAAACCAGAAACCTGTGTTTACAAGAGGGAAATTCTTCCCTCATTACTAAAAATCAGCATTGCTGTCACTGAGATGAAAATATGTTTACAAAGAAATGTATTTGCAAAAATAGAAAAACAAAATTTGAAAAATATTACAGGGACAGTTTTGAAGATATTGACAAATACTGTAAAAGGAAGCGCAAACAAGAAGCATATATTTGTTTTCACAACCTGGGTGGGAAACAAGTAATTATTAATTGTGACACAAAATGGTTCTTAGTCCCAGGCCCATCCTTAATGCAGTACGGCATGACACTAAGAAATAGCAGTGAAAACATTCAAGATTAAAACTGTGTCTCATTACAGACCTAGAATATTCAGCTAAAAATAATTTAAACATCTTCTGTCCTTCTGTTTTTACTCAATCAGTAGCTTGGGGGGAATAATCTACTTCTAGCAAAAGAAACTTACTCATTCTGCTCTGTAAAATAAGGCAGTCAAAAATCTACATACAAGGGACCGTCTCCAAAAGAGTCCTTTGCACTTGGGAATGTGAATGCAATACAGAGAGAGCACACTGTGCATGCAAAGTGTGCAGTGGCCTCATTTATTAAGAATCCCACCTTTGAGGGCATTTCCAATCCTTCTTATTTTCCAGATGTTAGTAAAATCAGATGTGCACTTAACACATGTTGACAGGTAAGCAAGAGAAACTGCCTTTGGGTAAGTACCATTTTAATAAGCAAGAGCAAAAAAATACCAGATAACAATCAGATAGCCCTCTTGCCTTTTGGGCCTACTTAAATTCATATTAGAGATTACTGTATGCTACAAGAAGATTATGAAACCTGCAATGGAAAATTCGCAAATCTTTAATTATTAGAAGCATTCAGGGTCAGTTTCTGGAGTCAGCTGTATCACTACACCCCTTGGACTATTCTACTAATTTATAAAACATTTAGAAGCAGAGAATGAAAGAATTAAAAGGAAAAAAAATCCAAATAAACCAAACCTACAACCCAAACAAATATCACATAATCATTAGAT